ATGATTCAAGTTGATAATCTTTTAAATAAAAAATTGATTTTTTTAAAGATTTCAAAGAAATAAATTATAAAGAGTATTAAAGAAACTTATAAAATTATTATAATTATCATTTTTTTTTAATCATATTCTCAGCTCATGACTTTTAGTATTTTTTTTTGCTACTTGCTCCATCTCTTTGATTTTTTTTCTGCTATTTCTGCTATTATTTCTAATATTATTAACTAATTATTTTCTATAACTTGCTAAATATTTAATAAATAAATAATTTTTATTCAAACTTTAAGTAAATTTAAAGTATTACTTATCATAAATATATATACATATCTTGCTACCAACTTATCTTTATATTTGATTTCAAAACTTGATAGACTAAGATAAATATTACAAATAACTAGAATAAATATATAATATATTATTAATAATGCTTTCTCTTTATATTTTTTAAATACTATGTAACTAATATTTATGATTAATTTATTATTATAAAAAAGATTTTTATATATAATTTGAGTTTTTTTGCTTTTCTTTCATTCAGTAAGGTAAATAATAAATATATTATTATTAATTCTTACTAAATTCTTTTTGCTAAATATTAAAAAAATAATATTTTAAATAGCAAAAGTATAATTATTATATTTACTATAGTATTTTATCCTTATCTAAAATTATTAAACAAAAATAATTAGTAAAAAATCTATAGATTTATATAATTATAATGAATCTAATGAATATATTTCTCTATAAATATAAATATTTATATATTATAATCTATACTATTAATATAATCTTTGATATTTTTCATCAAATATTTTTCTAATATTTGTTAATATTTCTTGAAGATTGGAAAGAGATTAACTCTTTAACTATCTCCTTATATATTTGCTATATAGAAGAATAGAAAAAAGAAATTTAGTAAATCTAGCAGATTAATTTTTGACTTTAAAAGTAATCAAAGATAAGTATCTTTTAAAATATTTTGAATAGTTTGTTAATAATGACTAATTTTTTAATTAATTTGATTTGTTCTTGTATTTGAATATTTAAAAATTGATAGAAATAATATATACTCTTAATTTTTTTATTTAAAATATTTATTATATACTTGAATTCTTCATAGATCAAAGATTTTTCATTATTTAATACTTGAATAGATAAAAATTAAGTTGATAATAAAGAATATCTAATATTATTAATTTTTATTTTATTATTAAATAACAAATAATTAGATGAAGTAAATTAATATATAGAAGAATGAAATGATAAAAGAGAAAAAATTATGATAAGATTTATAATTTCTTTATACTTACTTTATTATCTATTATATATAATAGAAAAAAATTAGTAAAAATATTTATTTATAATATTTTTATATAATTTTTTGCAAATATCAGTTTACTAATCTGATAAAGATAAAGTAATAGGTAAAGTAGTAGATAAAGTAACAGATAAAATAATAGGTAAAATAATAAATAAAAAAACAGATTATATAGATAAAGTAGCAAGTATAGGAAAAGATGAAGTTAATTATTAGAATTTTAAATCTATTAATATAAGATTAAGAAATTTAATTAGAAAATTCTTATAATCTTTACAATTACAAAAAAACTTTAAAAAATCTTATACACTTTTTGTGATTATATAACTGAATAGATTTTTTATTTGATCAAAAGCCTATATTTTTACTTATTTTGTATTAAATAATATTATATTAATTAATTTTAAAGAACTATATTTAGAAAATTTCTTAGATTATCTTGATAATTTGCAAAAATATTTGGATATAATTATTAAAAAATAATAATAATAAATAAAAAAGAAATATAATAATAAATAAAATAATAAAAAAATAAAGAAGTAACTTATTATTTATATAATAGATTACTATAACTATCATACTTTACCAGACTGCAAAAAAATTTGTATTATACTTTATTTATTCTCTATTAATATTATATTAATATTATAATGTTAATCATTATTATTTATTCTCTATTAATATTATATTAATATTATAATACTAATTATTATTTATATAACTTTAATAAATTATTAATATTTGTTATATGAAGAAAAAACTTATTTATTAATAATAATAATATCTTTAAAGTACAGAAAATCTCTTTAAATATATTATAAGAGATTTAGAGATCAGTCTTTGAAATGCATTTAGAAAGATCTTTGTACTTGAAAATAAATCAAAGTTTTATTCCTTTTCAAATAATAATAATTAATATATAAATTTACTTAACTTCTGATAAAAATCTATTATTTAATAGCTAAATATTATTATCAAATTTATAAATAATATTTTATAACTTCTAATAAACTGATATAGTATATTAATGCAGTATATTATGAAAGAAAAACTATTTCTTGATCAATAGATCATATCTTATAAAAATTATAATTATCTTAGCCAATACAAAAATCAGAATATAATATAGATTTTTGAAATATATCAATTATAAGATTATCTTTTCTGATAATATTAGTAGAATACAATAAAATAATAATATTATCTCTAAATATTGAAGAAAAAATAATATTATCTCTAAATGTTAAAAAAAAATAATATTATTTGTAAAAGTTACTAAAGAGATTTTAGAAAAAAATTTTGAAAAATTATTACTAATAGATATTAATACTAGCTTTGATTCTAAAAATCTTCAAGATACAACTTTGAATAATGCTTTGGAGATTATCAAGAAAAAATTAAACTAGAATACTTAGTATAATAGTCTAATAATATTTATTATAACTTTATAGAATTGATAATAGAAAATAATATTTCAAACAAAATTAGGAATAAAATAATTAAATTCTTTAATAAATATAATAATTTAGAGAAATTATTATTATTGAAATTCATAAAAAATTAAAAAAAATTATCTTAACCAAATAAAATTATTTTTAATCAACTTCAAAGAAAAGATTATTAGAACTTTCTCTAATATTATTTTTACTTTTTATTATTATTCAATTTTTTGAGCTATTCAAATACTTTTATAATAATTATAAATAACAGATAATTTTAATTAATAAAATATTCTAAAAAAGAAGAAGATAATAAGTTTTTAATTACTATAATATCATTAATAAAATTAACAAATTAATAAATATTAAGTAATTATTAGAAAGATAAAATTAAAATAAGAGTATTTGAAAAATAGTGTAAATATGATTAGTGTAAAAAAATACTTTCTTTATTATATTATCTATTATAGATTATTCTATATTTATATAATCTTATAGTTACATAATATAATATATCTGAATAATTCATACAGAAAAGTCAGGATATAGTATTATATTTGAGATAAAATTTATATAAAAACTAAATCAAAAGCAGACAAGAGATTATATTTAAACTTATTCTTTATTTGATATTATTAATACTTAAAATTATAAAATAATATAGTATCTTTAAATAATAAATTAATATTACATAAAATTAATAATAAAATAAATAAATTAATAATAAATAATACTTATATGATAGTATTTCCAGAAGATGCTTATTAATAAATAAATAAAAAAATAAATGCTTATAAATGAAATATATAAATTTAGTAATACTCTAGCTAAATTAGTAAAACAAGAGAAAAGAGAAATTCTACTAAGAAAACTATCTATAGCTAAAATTACTTAAATATACTGTATGACTTTTCTTGATATAATTAGATAATTATGATGTAATAAGTTATATATAGTATAGTATGTAATGCAATAATAATCTGTAAAGTAAAATATAAATCTAATATAATTATTCTAATTTGTTATAACATTCCCTCTCTTAAGAATTAATATTCTCATTGATATTTTGATTCAAAAAATTTTACAAGTTCTATAGTATTATAAAAATTTTCCAAGAATTTTCAAGTAAAATTATGAAGAGAATAATCTAGTTATTTAACTAAGTATTGAGATTTATTTTGAATGATTCTTTTATTTAAGATTGCTTCTACTTCATATTTTTTTTTATCAGTTCCAGATATAATAATTAGTTGTGATGATATTAGATAAATAAAATTTTTATTATCATTAAGATTATAAGACTTTAGTAATGAAATATAAAAAATAAAGTAAATTCTCATATGTAAAGGTAAATCCAATTTATATATAACAGGTAAAATAACTTCAAGAATAGAAAAAGAATTAATATATTTAGATATAAGCTTTTTATTAGGATATTATTTATCTATAAGATTAATAATATTATGAGTTAAAAATAAGACTTGATCTCCAATTTTAAATTCTTGATAATGATAATGTTGATTAGCATATTTAGATTGATAATTCTGTGCTTCTATTAGTAAGTCTTTAGTATCTTTAATTATATTATTTCAATATTAAATAAATTTATCAGTGACAATAATATTATTATCTGTAATGAGTATTATAGATGTAATTGAATATTAATTACAATCTAATTTAAAAGATATGTGACTAGAAGAAGCTTGAATTAAATTATTATATGTAAATTCAGTAGCAGTAAAATGTTCATCCTAGCAATCCTAATTGTAGGTGAAATAGATTCATAATATTTCTTTTAAAGTGTGATTCATTCTCTTAGTTTATCTATTAGTTTATGGATGAAAAGTGATTGATATAGCTAATTTAGTTTTAATTTATTTAAATAATAATTTTCAAAAATAACTAGTAAATTTGACATTATGATCTGAAATTGTAATACAAGATAGTCTATGTAATTTAAAGATATTATTGAAGAATAACTTGATAACTTTAGGTACAGTAATAGTAATATATATAGAGATAAAATAAGTATATTTAGTAAGATAATTGATAATAACTAAAATTATATTATATTCTTAATGAGTTATAGATAATTACATGATGAAATTCAAAGTAATTTATTTCTAGTATTATTTAGATATTTTCAAGAGTTATAGAAAATTTGAGAATGACTGATTATTACTTTTATTTTTTTGATATTCTTCATAACTGAAAATGTATTTATGAATATTCTTGAATATTTTTGGTTAATAGTATGATCTTTGTAAATACTTATAAGTTTTATCAATTTCTAAATGACCAAAGATAGGAATATCATGATGTTCTTCCAAAATTTGAGTTCTCAGAGTTTTATTCTTTGGAATAGCTAATTAATTAGTGTTCTTTAAGTAAATTTTATTATCTCTTAATTTAAAATAACATATTCTTGCTTGTTACTTTAATATAGATATTTCAAAATTATGCAAAATTATGCAAAGTTATCTAGATTTTCTTGAAATAATTACCATTTTCATATTCTTGTTATAACTTTTCATAATTGATAAGTTGTGTAGAAATTATAGTAATATTATTCACTTGTAATAGATAAGACAAAGTATTAGCTACTATATTTTTCTTTCCCAGTTTGTATTTAACAATGAAATCATTAGCTTGTAAGATTTTTAATTAGCAAGCTTGATATTTAGAAAAATTATACTATATTTTAATATACTCAAGAGATGTATAATCAGTAATGATAATAAATCATTATCCTTTCAAGTATGATTTTTAAAGATAAATAGTATGTACAATAGTGAGAAGTTTCTTTTTATATATTAGATAGTTTTGTTTAGCTAAAGATAGTTTACATAATTCATAGGCAATAGATTAATCTTTTTTTTCATGATTTTAACTAAGAATGACTCCTATAGCAAATTCAAATATATTAGTTATAATTATAAAAGGTAGTTTAGAATTTGATAAAATTAAGATAGGTATAATGATTAAATGCTATTTTAAATTATCAAATACTTTTTATTTAGACTTATTTCAAATATTTTCTTGATCTTTATAAAGTAAGACTATAAGTAATAAAGTAATTGCAAAAAATTCTTTTATAAATTTTTTGTAGTAACTAGTAAGATTTAAGAATAATCAAAGCTCAGAGATATTTGTTAGCTTTGAACTAGTTATAAATAGTAATAATTTTATATTGATTAACTGATATTTCTTGATCCAAAATAAAATGATCTAGATATTTGACATATTGCTTGATGAGTTTATATTTCTTTAATTTAGTATAGAGTTTATGTTTGCAAAGTTTGGAAAGAATAATACAAAGATGTTGAAGATATTTTTTCTTAGTATTACTAAATAGAAGAATGTCATCAAGATAGATAATGACAAATTTATTCAAATAGTTATGAAAAATATTATTCATAAGAGTCATAAAAGTTGTGAGTATATTAGTAAGATCAAAGGAAAGTACAAGAAATTCATAGTGATCATATTTTGTTCTGAATACTATTTTATGAATATCTTCTTCTTTAATTCTAATTTGATAATATCCAGATTAGAGATCCAATTTAGAAATATATTTTGCTCTAGTTAAATAATTTATTAATTTATCAATACAAGGTAAAAAGTATCAATTTTTAATTATAATTTTATTCAAGTTATGATAATTAACACAAAAATGAAAAGTTCCTTCTTTTTTATATACAAATAAGACAGGTATTTCAAATAGTGAAAGACTTGGATGAATAAAATCTTTACTAAGTAAGTCAGATAATTATTTTCTCAATTCATCCATTTCAATATAAGACAAGTGATATATAGGGTGAGATGATGATTTAGAGCTAGGTATTAAATTAATAGTATAATCTATAACATATGTTGATAATAACTCATTAGGAAGTGAAGTAAGAAATACATCAATAAATTCTTTAACTAGTTACTTTACAAGAAGTTATTACTTCTTGATATATTTCTTTTTTAGCAACACAGATTACAAATAATTCAGTATCAGATAGAATTTCAGCAAATTATTATTAAAATATATAAAGTAAGTTACAACTAGATATAAGTTTATCTTTACTAATATTGATCTTGATTACTTTGTTGCCATAATAAAATATTATGAAATTATTACATCAATCAATAGTGAGATTAGTATGATAAAGCCATGATTTATCAAGTATAAGATTATAGTATTGAATATTAAGAACTTGGATATTGATATTAGAGATATGGTATGTATTCAGTTTTAGTTCTTTGATTACTACAAATAAGTTGACTTTCTTTTTATGATTATTAGCAAGTTTTATAGTAATAGAATTCATATTATAAATTTGTAATTGATTTTTCTGAATATATACTTTATCAATAAAATTTTGTGATACTTCACTATCAAGCAAAATCCAGGCAGACTTTCTATTAATATAATCATTAAATTTCACATAATTATTCTCAAGATAAGTAAATTTAATATTATTATTATATTATATAATAATTGTAGTATTATTATTATTCTTGATATTATTAACTTTAGCTTTTTCTTTAGAATAATAATCCTTGGCAAAATAACTCAGTTTGTTATAGTTATAATAATTACAATTATTATTATTTCTATTATGATTATTATTATTATTATTATTATATTGATAAAAATCTTTAGTATAATCTAGTTTCATAGATGTAAGACTAGTATTATTATGCATATTATTAGAAAAAAAGCTCTGATTTCTTTTATATTTTTGATTGTAATTGTGATTATCATTTTTAAAAGCATGATAAATATCAAATATAGCTATATCATAATGAATTGCAAGTTTTCAAATATTATTAAAAGTTTCCAGTACTTAATATATTACTTTTATTTTTATTATAAATTTAAAATTATCAATGAAATATGTAACTTGATTTAATTCTTCAATTTCTTCAATTTGTCTTATGATATTTCTGAATTTAACATCATACTCTTGTATAGTACTAGTTTAATAAAGTTGATAAAGTTAATAATAAAGATATTATAAATAATTAGATAGTTGGAATACTTTATAAACTTTAGTAAGAAAAAATTTTCAATTTTCAAAAGTAAGATTTTCTCTAATAATACGTACTTTATTCAAATATTAATGAAGAGTAATATCTTCAAGACCAGTTCTAGTATATAAGATATAAGTTTATTTATTTATAATTTCTTGTACATATAATATTCTAGTTACTTATAAAATTCAAATATTAATATTTTCATATGATTTTTCTTTGTAAGTTAGAATCTTAAGAGAAATTCTTAATGCAGAAGAAGCAAAATTATTTTATTAACCATCATTATTAGTATTATAGTTATTACTAAGAATAATAGTAAGTTATTACTATTATTAAATAAGATTAATAAGATTGATGAGAAGTTATTAAAATTATTCACTTGAGAGATTAGGATCAAATATTATAAATATATGTATATGTATATATAAGTATGTGTATATTAAGTATGAGTAAGAAAGTATATAGAAGAGAAGAAGTTATTAGTAAGTATATATGTATATTTGTATATATATAGTATTAATCTTTTCCACTATTATCAAAGTTATAATTTTCTAGTTATATAATATAATATATTTGAATAATTCACATAGAAAAGTCAGAATATAGTGTTATCATAGTAACATAAAATTTCTTAATTTCTTAATCTTTCTCTAGTTATGAAAAACTACATTTTATTATAATTTTTATTCATTTCATAATTATTTCTATTTTTTATATCATTTATTACTATATTTATTATCACGTTTCTATTTTTAAATATTATATCTTATTTAATATATGGAATCTATATTTTTATTATTTTATATTATGATATTCATATATATAATAGAATAATATAGTAGAAGATTATTTTTAATTTTGGTGGAACAGTTACATTTGAATGACAATCTTAAATATCTTTTCATATTCTTTGACATTCTTTGATATTCTCTCACTTTCTTTCACATCTTTTCACATCTTTTAATATTTTCTTATATCTTTTCACATCTTTCAACATTCTTTTACATATTCTGATATTCTTCAATATTTTTTAACATCTTTTAACATACTTTAATATAACCTATTTATAATTATTTATACTATAGTACTTTAATTATATCTTGTATATTAAATAGTATTAGCTAGTAATATTATAATAATTTTTGTATCTGAAAATATATAAAAGAATCTGCTATCTCAGCTTGAAATAAATAGTTTTGGAAAGAATTATTTGAAAAATATAGTTTTAAGGATTGCTTTTATAATTTAATTATATTAATATCCTTTCTTTTACTTGGTTTTATTTTTTTGACCATATAAAGTTAATTTTGGATTTTTGAATTATAATATTATATTGATTTTTTGATTTTTGATATTATTTTGAGAGTAAAAGATCTTTATTATAAATAAGTCACACTTTTTATTTTATTTGTTTTATTATTTTTGAAAGTAGATGATCTTTACTATAAATAAGCCATATACTTTTATTTATTTAGTTATTTAGCTTTTGTATTATAATTTTTATTTTTAGTTATAATCTTTTTTGATTAATAGTTTATATTATTTAATTAATTTAAATCTTGAATTATATCAATTACTAATAACTTCACTCAGTTAATCTTTATAATTTCTTTAGTTTATTTTCTTTCTTTAATTATTTTATTATTCTTTATTAAGATAATATCTATAAATATTAACACAGATATTAGAAATCTTTGTCATTATTAAAAGTTATAGTCTAATTTCCCTCTCTTTACCTTTAATTATTTTAGTCTCTCCTAACTCTATATCATTAGAGTGAATTAAAGTGAAATTTCACTTACCAATTTATCATAACATATTTTTAGTGTCCCCTCTGTGAAAGAAAACTCTCTTCACATCCCTTTTATATTTATATACTTTTTATATTCCTTTATTATACCTTTTCTTTCTTTATTTATAATTAATAAATATTTATATCTTGAGTTTTTATAACCAATTATTATTCTTTTATTGGATTATCTATTAATTATCATCTTGAGATATATCAAATTCCTAACTATCCTATTAAAATATCTCCTTAAGACTTTTGTCATCCCCTTCAGTCTAATTTATCATTACAATTTTTCATCTTTCATTTACTTACAGAATATATTAGAGTAATATTAATTAATCAAATCATATATTTATTATTTCAAGAATTAATTCAACTTGATCTGAGTGAAATATACATTAGCTGACTAAAATAAAGAATAGTATAGCTAGTAAACATCTTTATCTTTGATCACATTAATATACAAGAAGAATAACTCAATTTAATTGAATAATTTTACCAATGGTTTATTCATCAAGACTTTACCTTCCAATCAAGAATCTCATCTGTTAATAGTGATATTGACAAATACTACTCAGAAATAAAGAACTCAAAAGATATCCCTATTTCTCTAATACAGAATACAGAATCAGAAGAAATTAGTAATTCTTCAGAAGATATACAAACTGACTCAGAAGATAATAATCAATTATCAGAAGAAGAAGATCATCAAATGGCTCAATAAAATAATAATAATAACTTGGACAATCTCATTCAAGCTCTTGGAGTACTAGCTGACTGAATGGCTAATTAGAATATCTGGCCTATAGAAAAGATTATTATTCCAATCAGGAAATATTATGGAAATGAACAAGATTCTACTGAGTGACTAAAAGACTTTAATATTATCATCCAAGCTAATAGAATTATCAATGCTAGAAAAGTACAATTGATTAGAAGATATCTAGAAGATGCTGCTGCCTTATGATATAATGAAAGAGAAAGAGATAATGCTATCTAACTAACAGCCTGAAGTAACAATAATGACTAATTACACAGTTTCAGTCATCAATTTGCTACTCACTTTCACACTCAAGAAAGAATTGACCAATGACAAGATAAAATTAAAATCTTGCAACAAACTGATATCATGAAAGAATACATAGACAAATTCATAAATCTACTTTATAAAGTAGATCCAGAAAATAAATATCCAAAAGAATATAAGATCTGAATATACAGAAGAGAATTGAAATTAGAGATCAGAAAATGGATTCAGATCTTATTCAATGGTATTTTCTTAAATATGGTACAAGTTACCAAGAATATAGAGAAAGCAAATATAGATATACCAATTCAAGGATATCATCAATCTCAGATCCAGAATAATTCAACACTAAATATTATATTGATAGCACTTCAAGATCTCAACTAGCAAATAGAAAGTATTGAAACTAACAAAGAATTAAGTTATAATAGAAATAGTTCAGATTATAAATCCAATAATCAAAATTCTAAATCAGTTTCAACTTGCTATAATTATGATAAGCCAGATCATATCTGTCCTAATTGTTTTCAGCTACAATCATACTGAAATAATTAGAATAACTTTGAAAATAATCATCAGAAAACTAATGGAAATAATCAGCAATAAAATAATGCGTTACCAAATCAGACAAATACTGGTAATAACCAAAATATAAATAATAATCAGAATGCATTATTGGCTCAAATACAAGCTCTAACTGATAGTATTCAGACACTAACTGTCAAATCTGACAATGTAAATTTGCTACTTGATATACATGAATACTTAACTGCTGAAAGGAAATTCAGAAATTCCAGAATTACTTTTTATAGAATCAGACCTGTAGATTGATTCCATAAAGAAATAGTGAATAAAATTGAGAAATTGAATGACAATAATAAAGAAGAACAAGAAAATATTTCTGAAATTATTCTTGATCAGAATATGAATAATGCTAGATTATCTAAAATTGTAGAAGAAAAACTCATCAAAAAGATTATTTACAAAAAGAAAAGTAAAATTACTTTACTTATATTTGTTATCATGACTAAACTATATAATATTCTAGAAGATTTAGCTCAACAAAAAGCAAATATAGCTATTATTCAACTTATTTAGATCTCATCTTCACAAAAAACTAAACTATTAAAAGAAATATACTAAGCTATAACACTCAAATCAAAAAGAAAAAGAAGAGTATTACTTGAACAAAAACTTAAAACCACATCTGCCTAATATGAAGTGAAAGTTAAAAAGAATATCATTGATTTAATTATTGATACTGATATCTTTGAATGTATTACTATACATAACTTTATAAAAGATATGAAATTGAAAATATAATGCAGTTCAAATATTTCAATGTCAGATATAAATGGAGTATCTAAATAATCTTTTGAAGCTATTGACAATCTACTTTTGAACATTGATAAAATCATAATTCTTACTAAAGTAGATATTACTGAAGTAAAAACATACTTAGTAATTATTGGAATAGACTTTTTAAATAAGATCAAAGCCAATATTGATATCAGAAAAGAACTCATGATTTTTGAATATAATGATTAGAAAGGAAAAGTGCTAATTAAATTTATCCATGGTGATAGAGAGAAACTGATATTTGAAGATATAAGTTCTGAAAAAGATAAATCAGATAAAGATTCTGAAAGTAAATTTGAGAAATAATACTTGGAAAAAAAGATTTTTCTCATATGGCAACATAATAATTAGAATATT